GGGGTTGTTTGTTCAGCTTTTGGCGAAGATTTAAGTGTTGGTTTTGGATAGGTGCATTGCATGGCGCTGGGTGTGTGAAAGCATAGATAGATGGAGTTGGTGGGCGTATAATGCCATGTGGTCAATCTTTTGGATTGGATTGGAAGCTTGACTATACAAGTTGCAGTTCTGTTCACCTGGGCGACCCTCTCGACCCTACTATGCTACACCCTTATTACGACCTTGCCGACATGCTTCCCGGACCACAGGTAATCGAAGGCAGCCTGCGAGTCTTTGAAGTCGAAGATGCGATGATCGACCAGCGGAGCCAGGCTGACTTTTTTCTCCTCGAAGAAGCGATTCAACGCGTCGAAATCGTCTCTTGAACCCACAGCAACCCCCCTGAAACCTGTTAGCAACGATTCAGTACAGGCACCCACCTCAACTCACTGCAATCTTGCCGTCTTGCCAATCAGGCCCAGCAGCAAGCCGGGGTTCCAGTCAGCCGTCATACCCGTGAGGAACCCCACGATGGAGATAACGCCCCTCTGCCGCACAAGCGAGTCTAGATTCGCCGGAAACCCGGATGGTCCCGTGTTGTCAATAATCATATCAACGCCACGACCACCCGTCAACTTCTTCACCTCAGCCGCCTGATCTGGATGCGTGCGGTAGTTATACCCCATCAACTCCGGCATCCCAAGTTTCGCCCTTAGGCTCTCAAGCTTCTCATCCGACGACGACGTAACAATCGGCTTCATCCCCGCCGCCAGCGCAATAAGCAGACTAAACAAACTCACTCCCCCAGTCCCTACACCCGTTAGCACCCACCCGCTCAGCAAAACAAGCCCAACCCAACTCACCCTGAATCAACACCGTCTTCCCCTCCTTCCCAACCCCCTCCCCCATCCCCAACGCATTCCAAGCCGTAACCCCCGCACAACTAATCGTCGCCGCCTCCTCCCACGACAAATGCCCCGGCAACTTTACCAACTCCTCCTCCCGATACACCGCCCACTCCCTCAGCACCCCATCTACCTCACCTCCCAACGCTTCATGTCCCTCCCTTTGAACCACCCCATCTAAATTCACAAGATCGAACGCCGGACAGACTCTATCTCCCACCTTCACCCTCGTTACCGCTGACCCGATGAGAATGACTTCGGCGGCACAGTCCGAGGTGGGGATTCCCTCAGGGAGGGATACGCCGGGGTATGTACCGCGGGGGATGAGCACGTCGCGGTAGTTGAGGGAGACAGCGCGGATACGGATGAGGATTTGATGGGCGGCCAGGCCGGAGGGAGGGAGGGTGTGTTCGGTGGTTTGGATGAGGGGGAGGGGGGTGGAATGGGAGGGGGTTCCGGGGGAGCGGCGGAAGATTAGGTGGGTTGGGGGGATTGTGGTCATGGTGTGCTTGGTAGTTCAGAGGTTGGTGTTGGGTATAAAGAATGTGACTCGCAAGTTGATGGATAGACGGACTGGTTACGGCGTGGTTTGGTGTGTTTGATCCCGGGGCCAAGAGGTTTAAATCTCAGTACATGTGAGTGAGCTAGGTGTTTTGACGGGTTTATGTGCTGCGTCGAGGTCATGAAATGAACCCCTTACTGAGGTTGCCATCTGTGCTGCAGCGGGCTGAGGACCTTGCGTCAAGTCGTGCTTTCACGTGTGATGATGCTGAGTAATTGGGATCTTCTCGCATGGCACCAGAAACGATTTGTCATCAAGTCTAGCAATGATTCCAACGTTGCCGTCGTTTCAGCAAGCAAATTCGATTGCAATACGTCCGGCCGGAGGTCCGGAGTTATTAAATCCGGGGCTTTCAGGGTGGAGCTGGGGTTTGGACATAGACTCCAACTCTTCGAAGGATTGGTGGAGAGGCTCCTTGGATGGACATCGATGCAACAAATTAGTGGCTAGAACTCTACGTTAGCGTGACATTGGCGTTCCAATATAAGGGTGGACTCGGAGTGAACGAGCTTTGTGAGGGTGTGGTCGACCTCCCGCTTCACAAGCCCGGGTTTGGGGCGTCTTGACTATTATGTCTTTCCAAAGGCCTTGAAGATCTGAAAAAAAAACAAAAAAAAAAACAGAGTGCTCTATGTTGAACCTCCCATTAACTGTTTTGAGGCTGGCGTTCTTTCCTTCTTGATCGGGACCTAGTTCCACCAAGGGCAGGGTGCTAGGTAGTATACTTGGAAGATTGGGGGAAGATTTGGTTTTGAAAGCTGACTGACTACCGTAGGTAGACTTTTTCCGTTTGGTAGCTGAACAAGGGGAAAGCTTTGCCCGAACAAATCGGTCCCCGAAGAACTTAAGAAAGGGGCAAATGCTTTTATTTGATGGAAAACACTTTCTGCTGCCCAATAATTTGAAATGCCGGCTCTAGGTCTACCCACCTGAAACGCACCTTCCAAGTCCACCGCAACCTCCCTCTTCACCCACATTCCCCCACCTAGCAGAAGATTTACCTGCATGGCACTCGATCTTCTATTTCCTCCTCGCCCTGAAGCCATGAAAAGACCCTTGCATTCAACTCTGGCATCTGGACGGGCTGCGCGTGATTTTTCCGAGCAGACGGTACGCATTTATAAGCGCCACATTCCTACAGGCTCGGAGCTCCTGGCTGATCTTAACTACCACTTCCCCACGGTTGCCGGCAATGGGGCGCGCCGACGATTGTCAAGGGAGTTACACGAACTCTCACCGAGGTTGCTATACATTTCCAAAGCCGGGGCCAGCGAATCTCTCAGCATCAGGGATAGGTACCCGGTTGGCCACAACGCCTGCAAGGGTCTAGTTTGGATACTATCTAGATGACGCAGAATTGTCTCGAGCTTACATCTAGCGCGGGCGAGAAATTGAGTCGGGCGGCAGTGGTATTTCTCAGAGAATTCTTCTGGCTGATATTGATGTATGAAATGGGTCCTAGACGTGTTGGGCCTACTGGCTGCCCGTATTCCCAACTAACATCTGCTGACTGATTTCTTCTCAGACGATGGCGTGGATCAATTTGCTTTCCTTCCTGCTTCTCAGCGTCCAGCTTCGCCTTTCGCATCCTGGCGAAGAGTTAGAGATCTATCCACATGCCGCCCGACCCCTGCACCACCGCACGCCGCACATCTCTCAGTGTCAGGCCGCCTTTCGAGAGCCAGAGTTTTTCAGGAGGACCATCGCTCGCCGCCAGATTGAATTCGAGCGGCTGAGGGAGCACCGCAATCTTGGATGTCGGAGCGTGTCACTACACCGGCGCCAAGCAGGAGTACGTCAACAAGAATCACCAAGTCAAGAAGCCGTTCAACAAAGACACCAAGCCTGAGGTTCTTTTTGCCGACGACGGAGCCTGCATGATGGCGCCCCTTGTGTCTGAGGGTCCGCTCTACGTTAGCGATGAGCAGGTCTGTCGCAACCTGACCGAGGGCGAGGCCGGTGTCCCACGAACATCGACATCCAGATTTTCGAAGACGGGATAGCCAAGTTCGACACCTTCTTCCCAGGTCAGTATAATAATCGGGCAGTACACATTTATGCCATGATTTTTCTCGATGCCAAGCGGCAGCCGAACGGTAACATCGCCGGTGGTGGAGTTGCCCATATTGGACAGCTCTACTTTGACAAGGCCTTGATCAACGAGGTTGAAAAGCTCCCGCCTTACACAACCAACACACAGAATCTGACGCTTAACGCGGATGACGGCCGCCTCCTCGATTTTGTCGCCAAGCTTGACCCAGCGCATAAAGGGGTCGTCGCTGAGTCCGGTGATCTTCAGGATGGGGGCTTCACATATAATCAGCTCGGAAATTGACACTTCAGTGTCGTGGAGCATTATTCCTGCGGCGTGGAAGGACGAGAATGGTGGGCATCAGGATTTGATAGGGCCGATGGGCAATGAGTCGAAGCCGCCGAAGATTCCGCCAAATCCCATCCCTTAGATGTAGCTGGGGTTGGACACTAGAACACGATGGATGCGACCAGGGGCAGTTCAGATGGGTGTTGAAGAATGTACAGCTTGATGTTCAAACATTGAGAATCTCTTTCCCACCAGGCTCTGCCCACCACTAAGCCCCTAAGCCATCCCCATCGCACATCCTCTCTACTAGCAAAAGCCATCACCCCTAGCGATGTCTCTAATGCTGGCAGAAAGGAAGCATTGCCCACTGCCAGAATTGAACTGACGACCTTGTCATTACTAGTGACACGCTCTACCACTGAGCCAAGCGGGCTTGGGTGACTCCACATGAGAATGTCACCGGGATGCGTCAGCCGCGAATCGCGCGCGGGGCCCATCGATGGCAACGATGGATTTTACCACTAAACCACTGACGCTGGTTGATTTGTTGGGATGAAAGTGTGGGAACACCCCTTTTCGGTGTCTGGGCTTGTTTCGCCAACTCCCGCAAGACAGCGGCCATCGGTGTCTCCATGGATGGTCTCTTCATGGCTTGAGCATGGTCGGACCGTGGTCAGTCCAGCTGCACCGCTCAGCGAAGCCCCCCTTTGGAATAAGTCACGCTTCCAGTATCACCTTGCGACTTTGGGACAAGTCTGTTCATTCACTGCCTTTCAACTTGCATAATGCACGGCCTTTCCTCTGTGTTTGCTGCTTTTCATTCTGTCTTTGTCGTTCCTGCTGACGAGAAAACAGCACTGAGGAGCCCCTACATGGAGACTTTCTCAAAGTCTTGTTGCGTCTCAACAGCAAGATTTTGACATTGCATCTTCAGTGGCTTTTGCGATTACCTTGCTGTTCACACTCTGCCCAAGACCTGTGACACACTGTTGTCCCTCCAGACGGTCAGATAAAACAATTCAGCACCCAGGGAAAAGTCCACACTCCATGAAGCTCAAGAAGCACAATCCAAGTGCGAAGCGGAATCTCTCACAGACTACAGTCCATATCCATGTTAACAAACCTCCCTCATTCTGTCAACCCCACCAAGCCCTAGCCTTTCCACCCACCTATGACTCGCATACCTCCCACAACCTCATAACGCAAGAAAACTCCTCCATCTTAACGACAACAGGTGGAGATGGCCCAGCGGTCTAAGGCGCTAAGTTAGGGTGTTCCTTAGTAACATCATCATCTCTCGAGATCTTGATCCCGAAGTCCGAAAGGGCGTGGGTTCGAATCCCACTCTCGTCAGCACCTTCCTTTCCGATGGCTCTGGGGGAAGGAGAAGGGCTTCTTTTTGCTTGGAGAGCTGAGGAAAATGGGTGCAATGTGTTTGAATGAAGGGAGAGTGCTGCCCTGGCATCCCCGTGGCCAAGGTTAGGAAGTGAGTCTGGGCTGGGTGCGTGCCTTGGACGCCTAACCTGATGCAAGTTCTTCAGTCTTGCTCACCGAGAACCTCATTTAACAATAAATAGCGGCGGTTATGCCCGCTTTCCTCGTCTGCTTGTGCCTCAGCACACGAGAACTGAATGCCTCCTCCCTCGGCTGAAGCGTAAATAGTTCCGGTTGCGAGTTTGACTACACCCTAGTCTCAACCTCCAAGCTACCGTAGCACCTAGATCCTCCCCAGCCTTTTGAAGGAGCGAAAAGAACCCCTTTGCGAGCTTACAGACATTAAAAAGAGTACTAATGATGAGAGTGGGATTCGAACCCACTCCCTTTCAGACTACAGAATCTCTCTCTACGATGATAGAGAGGATGAAATTAAGGAGGACCCGAACGTAGCGCCTTAGACCGCTCGGTTATCTCACCCCTATTGATGATTCTGTGACTGCTTGGCTAGGTTATGGGTGGCTGTTGTGCGGCGCGAGTCAGGAGCTCAGGGGTTCAGGGGTTGGGGTGAAAAGGGGTCCGGGCTTGGTGGAGCTGAAAGGGGAACTTCAAAGTTTACAGGGATATAAGAAATTCCATTGAATTTGCCTTTCTGCTGCTCTGTTTGAAATGGCTGCTCTTTGTCGTTGATGACGTTTGAAGTTCCAGGGACAAGAACTCAGTGGCGTCAGACGACACACTAGACAGGGAGGGACATGACAGTCTTTCTCAACCGCATAGCATATGTTCCTGCCCGCCGAGCTCTGCGCTTCCTACTTTCGTTCAGGTAGTTAACGATGGGCAAAACACAGAAGACGCCAGGACACCGCACCCAGCAGTGTTTTCCACGTTTACCTTTCAAAGTCAACTCCACGTGCCAAACCAGGTAACTTTCAGCCACAACGCGGCCAAAGATCCACATGCCACTGATACACACAACCAGCCATCCCCAAACTCTGTGTTTGGAATAGGGGATAGAGGTAACAAGCTCGAGATCGTGGGTATAAGAAGCCCTGAACTCCCTGGCCCTGTTGGCAGGAAAGCATCGCTTTCACACTTTACTCGCTTAACTCGATTAATCGGAAACACTCACAACATCACACCTACGGTTATCACACTTGCACCTACGACAACAAAAACAACAACAACAACAACAGCTGCCTAACATCTAGAGAATGCAAGGTTAAAACGGTGGAAAAACCTTGGATGTCAGGCATCCAGTTTGTTGTTGTTGTTGTTGTTGTTGTTGTTGTTGTTGTAGGTGTGATAATCATTGGGGTAGCGCCGTGGTGTTTCCTTCAGCTAACACCTAAACCACCTTCCAAACCTTGAAGCCATCCCCATCACCGCCTCCCCAAACCCTTCCTATCCTCTCCTCTCGAAAGCACCTCCTCAGCTCCCCTAAAAAGCGCCTAACCAACGCCCACCTAATCAAATCCCAGCTCTAATTTAGCCCCATCTGCCCTGCTGCCTTAGCTCTCATAAAATCTTAAATCCCATCGTCCCGGATGCTCACACCTCCGCATCAAGATCAGCCCTACATCTATTCATAGCACCACCACACCTCCCGCCTAAATTATATTAAACCCGCCCGTTGCACAGCACCTCGCTTCCCATTTATTCTCCTCAACAATCCCCGTAAGAAAAGAAATTACCTGCCTTGCCTTACCGCCTTCCTCTGCACCCCACACGCATGCACTGCGCGATGATGATGATATTCCCGAAATTTCCATGCCTGCTGCAAGTCAGATGGAAAGTTCCTGTCGAGGGGGGGGAGAAAAAAAAAGATGGGATGAACGGATGCGCAAAGGGTCCAATTCTTACCCTACCCATCTTCATTCTGGGAGATTGGGGTCTGGGAATAGATTAAATGGAGGGGAGAGGTTATTTTGCCGGCGTGACGTGCGTGACGGCTCGGTGGGTGCCGAGGGGGGTTTTATTTGGATGCAGGTACGAGGTGTCTTTCGGCTGATTTGCCGTTCGGTTAGGTATTTTGTTCAGGGAGAAAAAGGGAGGGATTGTCACTGGACCTGGGGGAATGAATCATGAGTCTTGGCGTGAAATTAGTTCTGGATTTTTGGCAGTGACTTGAAGTTCTATCGTATTGCGCTAGTATTCAGGGGTTTGTGACATTCGCCATGATAATTTAATCGTCATCTTGGTTGCTCATTTTTCTGCCCTTCTCGCTCTTTCAATGGTGCTCAGCAGACGATTCGCACTGGCGGAACCAGAGCTGGGCTGATCAAGGTGGGCTGATCAAGATGGGCTGATGAAGATGCCATGATGCATTGGTTTGGCAGATCGTGAGTCAGCCGAGGAAAAACAACTGCTCGCGCGAGTCACGGGCCACAGGAAATGTCACGGGATCAGATGACAAACTGAAGGCCAGACCTAGGTGAGCATATGGTGAGATATACTGAAAGGGGATAAGACGCGGGAGAAGTTCGGTCCGAGACATGTCGTTGGTCGACCTCTCACCAGCGCGGATTCGCGGCATGGGCCGTGGAGGATTCGCCGAAAGACATCGGACTGTGATGTCAGGTCTGACTGACAGACTGCTCGCCTAGTACGCGGTGACGCCCGAGTACGACCTGCCAATTGCGGTTGCTTCAGTCACGCTTACAGCGCATCCGCCCACGGTGCCTGACGGCGGTTGTCAACAAGGCTTACAGTGAAGCCCGTCAGCATTGGACATCAACGAGAACAGCTCTGCCTGTGGACAGTCGTCTTTGGTGCGACGTGGCGGCGGTCAGACAAAAGTTCTCTTGTCCTGTGGGATCTTTGCACCTTCTCACTGCAGAATGACTCCCTCCGTTCCAGACTTCGGACGTCGAGGAGTGAGCGTGTCTGAACGAGGTCGATATCCGGGCCAGATGAGGCTCTCTATCGCCGACCGTGGCTACCTAATATGACTAAGGTGCGTCGGACTAGGTAGCTTGGCTGGAGGCTATACGATCTGGGCGGGGTGGGAGGGATGGGGTGGTATTTGTGTGGGCTTAGCAGGATTACCGGATTTCCCATCGTCCAGGTCCGAAATAGCACTCATTGGTAACCGGGTTTGAACTGAGATTTTTTTTTTAATGTGCTGTCTTGGTCCAGCTTGCCGAAAGCTCGGTCGAGCTCTCGACGCTACCTATCGACACCGGGCATCGGTGAGGTTCAGTGACGTTGAGAAGTTCGCCACCAATGGTGTGTCTCGGCACCGCTATCCCAGCTCGAGCCTCCCCTGCGATGCGCGCTGCAAAGGTCTCGCTTGCGGCGCACCGTGAATGGTCGCCCTTTAGCGATGCCAAGGCAAATCATGTGTGAGGCATGCTGGGAGTGCAAGAGGTGTTGATATGCATTCCGGCGATCGACAGGTCGAATGTCGGAATACGAGATACCACCCCTCCTCTTCTGCTTGCTGCGGAGGAGAGCTCTCTGCGCGGGTGGGAGCTCAAGCTCTGATCGGTCACCCAAGCAGCTCTTGCGGTGGAGTTGCAGTGCAGCAGGCAGCAAGCAGGTGCAGCGAATGCAGCAATGCGCCCAGTGCAGCTTGCCAGAATGTTGGTAGGATCAGCCAATTGATCCGTGGGTGCCTCCGCTGACTCTTTACTGCGAGCTTCGCTGAGGCTGGATGGAATGCGAGGCTCGCGTAAATCGTAAATCGGCGATGCCTTCTGGAATGCCGAGAGAACGACGCTCCGCGGGGTTTTCGGACCGCCACTGTTGCGTGCATGGAGGACGCTGTTCTTTCCTTGTTGAGATGCCAGCGAGGTGAGAGTGGTGGGCCACCACATGCCCGGGGGACCCACCGGCCCCCAACTTCCGGCATTGGCCCGGGCGGGGACCGTGTGAGTGCTAGCGACTGGACCGAACCGGAGGAGAGCCCGAACCCGCCAAGTAGCAACCAGTGTGGTTTTGCTATGGTTCTGACCCAACACGATTTAAGGCCGCCCCATCATCCGGACTGGGCATCGGGGTGAGTCCGTGGACTAGCGCAGGGCACCTTACTAGCGCTGCGTGAAGTGGGTGTGAAGCAGCTCGATCCGAACGTCAGGTGGATTCCCGTCAACTTCATCATCCATGAGGAACATCACATATGTCGCAAACATTCGGGATGCCGAGAGCCACGGCGGAGAATGTGTTGAGAATTTGCAGGCGCTGAGAGGCTCAATTGCAGTGCGACCCTGGCTTGCGATACCCGGTCTGTGAAAGCAAATGCGGGCGGCTGCACAATCACCCGACCATCAGACAGCGGCGGCCCAACGCAGCGAACCGAGCAGAAGCAAGGCCATGGGTCTCAGAGCTATGGCCAGAACCGGCTGACCGGAGATGCCTTTGCCTTGTTTGCCCCAAAGATGCTAGTGGAGTGCGAAGAAGAAGAAAAAAACGCACAGCGTACTCGGACCGGCGGTTCAGCTGTCCTCTTTTCAGGGTTTCGATCCGAGGAATTCTCGGGAAGCCCGCGGGGTTCTCGCTGCCCATATACTATCAGTTTTTCGCAGAGTCTATCTGGTCGTATCGCGGTTGGGTGCGTTGTGTCTTGGATCTGTGTTACACACTCTATGTCGCCGTGTCTCACGGAGTCTTCCTGTGTCGCTCCGATATTGGTGCTCTTCGTCTTTTTCGCTGGCCTCCGATGCTACTCGTGCCCCGCGTTTTGTTGGCCGGGTTAGATGCTGGCTCGGCACTGGGCTGGCGGTGGGCTATTTTCGGAACCGGCAACCCTGGGCTTGCCACAGCCGCCCGAAGCGAGCATCGCCCTCCCGCAACTGGGTCGCAGCCCACTTGCTGACAACCACCCCGCCTCTGACAAGCCAATGGCGACGCGCGTAGCAGTTGAGGCGCGCTCAGCCTCTTCCTCGCATCCAACCGTAACGCCAGGTCAGCGGTGTCCCACTGCGCTGGGTTTGGCGGGCGTCACCAGGCTGGCACCGCTGGACTGGCTGCCGGCCCGCAGGAATATTGACCGTTGCTGCTGCAAACCTCTCTGCCTGCAGTTAGCTGCACGGAGACTTGCCCCTCTGGGTTAAAGCCATCGGGCGGTCGCCGAGAGGCGCGTGCGCCCAGCGGGACCAGGGCTGAGACGACGAACGGGAAGCTCGCGCATCTCTGCTCACGGAGCTGCAGGCCTTCGGTCGCTCTTGCCATGTGCAGTGCCATGGCAAAGCATGATTGGAACCTGGACGACTGGGGCTTGCACCTTCCTTGCCCTTGACCGGATCGAGGCCCGAAATCCTGTCAATCACAGAACTTCCGCATGCACACACCTCTGCTGCGCAAAAGGAAGTTCGATGGACCGGGGAAGCAGCCAGGCTCAGGCTTGCCAGCACCTCCACCACACCCCGACGCCCACGCTGGCAATGACACTGTCAGCTGAGTGCTGGGCACCGCAAGCAGCACACAGCCGATCTCGACCATTCCTGGCATCGTCGAGCGTCCGGGGTGGTGGTGCTGCA